CCTGCTTGTTTTTTCATTCAATCTTCATATGACATTTTCTCATTCCTTCACAATACCAATTGCCCTTGTCTAGACAAGGCCCAGTTTGTCAGCATTCTTCTTTTAAAAAATGGTGCCCAGAGGCAGGTAGGTGGTGAAGTGGATAAAGCTCCAGCCTTGGAGTCAGGAAGACCCGAGTTCAAATCCAGCCTCAGACACTTGACACTTACTAGCTATGTGACTCTGGGCAAGTCACTTAACCCCAATTGCCTCACCAAAAAAAAAAAAAGTGGTACCCTGTAGCACCAGTCTCGAATATTACTTTGAGATTAAGCCCAAATACCAGCCAGACATGGTTTCACGTACCTTTAATACCTGATGTTGGGGAGACTTTGGCTGGTGGAGTGCTTCAAGTCAGGAGTTCTCAGATGGAATGTGCTAAACCCACCAGGTATTCACACTAAGTCTAGCATCTCCTGAGGCAGAGGTGGGAGCCACTAGGCTGCCTAAGGAGGGGAGAACTGGCCTGGCTGGAGCAAATTGAAGCTCTCATGCCAATCAGTAGTGGGATTTGGTCCCTGAGTGTGGCCACTGGAGGTGAAGCTGCGAGGGAGGGGGTAGAGACAGAGACAGAGAGAGCAAGAGACAGAGAGTGAGAGTAATCCTACAGAGAAATAACCCAAGAGTAGAGAGATACACCTTCTTAAGAGAGAAGGGGATCTTAAATAGAAGAGGATTACCTACAAGGCTCCCTCAGCTGGAGAAACAGTAAGGAACTAAAGCCACAGCATGAGGAGCAGAAGACCTGTACTTTTAGGGACCTGTACTTGCAGGTGCCTGTACACAGGCATTTAGCCTGTGAATTATTTAGGCAGTGTAGGTCTGATGGGAAGCACCAAAGAACATTCACATTTCAGGGAAAGACTAAACCACAGGGTCACAGTCAGAGTCATGGAGGGACTGTGTAGGACCCTATGGAAGAGGTTTCCCCAGATTCCCCAGATTTCCCCAGTGAAAGCCCCAAGTTCAATTCCCTTCTGGAGGGTGAGTTTAAACCATGGATGGACCTGAGTCAGGAGGACTCTAGGACCTTGGTGAAAAAGGGAGCCCCACAGACAGGGAAGGGAATTGTGTTGATTGCTTATCAGCTACAATGAATGCTTTGTGTGTTTTCTCTATCTGTTTGTGGGTTCCTGTGAGTCTTCTTTGCCTTCTGCATTCTCTGTGGAGTGAAATAAAGGCTGCCCTGTAATAAGGGAAAAAAAATGTGGTGCCCAGAAATAAACACAGTACTACAGATGTGATATGACAGATGGGCTCCGAATATGACTGTGGAATTGAGTTTGAAGTCACTTCCTCAAGGCTTTCTATTCCATGAGATGTCAAGGAGGGGCCTGTATCTTCTGCTTTCTCAGGTCACAGACACACCTGGTCCCCTGAGGAAATGGAACAATAACCCTCCCAGACACGGCAAAGTGGAGTCCTGCCCAGATGAGGGCAAGCTGGGTAGTCAGAGGCCTGAAGACAAAGGAACAGGGGACATGGATCTCAAACCAGGGCACATGGCTTTAAAGCCTGGCTCTACCCCCTCAGCTCTCGGTGTAACTTTGAGCAATCCAATGAACCTTCTTTGGCTTCAGTTCCTTCTCTAAAAAGATGACGAGATGATCTCTAAGGTTCCTGCCAGCTTGAAGTCCATGAGCCTTCAGTTAGGCTTGGTCGAGAGAAGAGACTTAGCAGAGATATAGAAGAGGGATTAGAGTTGTTTTCTTTGGCCCCAGAGAGAACCAGGACCAATAGGTGTAGATTTCAAAGAAGCAGATTGAGGCTTCATGCAAGGGAAAACATTCTAATAATTTGTTGTTTAGTCATTTTTCAGTTGTGTCCCAACTCTTCATGACCTCTTCTGGGATTTTCTTGGCAAAGTGATTTTCCATTTCCTTCCCCAGCCCACTTTACAGATAAAAAAAAATCGAGGCAAACAGGGTTAATTGACTTCTCCAAGGTCACACAGCTAGTAAGTGTCTGAAGCTGGATTTGAACTCAAGAAGAGGAGTCTTCCTGACTCCAGGCCCAGCACTCCTTCTACCATGCCACCTAGCTATCCCTTGAAACAGCTCCTTTCTCTTCCTTGTGCTGACTGGGGATGTCACAGAAATATCACTTTTAGATTTGTTTATGGGCAGACCCTGAGGTACCATGTTTAAGAATCCCTGTTAAACCAAAAGGTCCAACCAGTGTGCTCAGAACTACAGAGGGGATCCATTGGCCTCGTGTATTTGACCCCAACCAGCTACCAGTGGGATTTCTGAGAGGTGAACAGAGGGAACTTGGGGCAGGTTTTGGACAGAGAGAGAAGGTCCAGGAAGGAAAGACAGGAGAGTGTCCCAAAAGTAGAGGCATCATAGGGTTGATGTTTGCCTACTTTAATGAAAACAAGATTCAACCTGCTTTGAAACAGCTCCATAGTAATCAGAGCTCTGTTAGTGATTGGAGTAGATCAACTACTCCAATGCACTGGGGATAAAGTCCTAGACCGCTAGGTTGCACAGTGGATAGAGTGCTGGGCCTGGAGTCAGGAAGATCAAATCCAGCCTCAGACACTTACTAGCTGTATGACCCTGGGCAAGTCACTTAACCCTGTTTGCCTCTGTTCTTCATCTATTAAATGAGCTGGAAAAGGAAATGGCAAACCCCTCTAGTATCTTTGCCAAGAAAACCCCAAATGGGGTCACAAAGAGTCAGACACTGAAATGACTGAACAAGAACAAAAGTGCTGGAGTTAGCTTAGAAGGCTCCCTGGATGTACTTTTCTCTCATTGAAAGGAAATGCTCTACCCTTCCCCACTTTACTGCTAGAGAAATTCCATCTTCATCAGAACCACATTTCCACCTCCATTCCCCCAGAACAGGGCACTGCATCTGAAATGAACTTCATTTCTCTCTGATCTTGGAGAGGAAATCTTAATCTTAATTCCCTCCACTTCTATCCTTTCCCAGAAGCCCCTGCTGCAAGTGATACTAAAACCACACTGTGGGTCCATTTAGGATCACAAGATCATTTAGAGCTGGGAAGAACTTTTAAAATCATCTGATATAACCCCCCTCATTTTATATATGAGGAAACTGAGGCACACAGAGATTAAGTGGCTGGCCAAAGATCAGACAGGAAGAAAATGGTAGAACCAAGATTTGAACCTTGGCCTCTCTTATTCCAAATCTAGTATTCTTTCTACTGTACCCCAATCACTCAAATAAACTTTTACCTAATCCCAAAAACATATTAACTAGGAAGGGAGAGAAAGACAGAGATAGGGAGACACAGAGAAAGAGAAACAGACAGAGAATTAGGATCAGCTGGAAAGCTGGGTATTAGAGTGGATACTAGAGGTGCTCTCCGGGGTGTTAATGTGGCCCCACCCCTAGGCAGGCTTGGGTAGATTCTACACTAAGACAACATTTGGGGCCCTATCTGCTCACCAAGCTCCCAACAGCCCAATTCTAGCACTTCCCATGATGAGGAAGTAAAGCTGGCAATTACTAAGGAGGGAGGAGAAAGGCCTAGGAATATGATGCCTCAGCAGATTCCATTCAGGATGGGGGAGGAATAGGGGTCTTACTCACTGTGATGCCTCAGCAAGTTTAAAAAATAATTATCTCTGAGCCACACTTCCAAAGTTATTGGAATAAAAAAAAAACAGCTTTACTCAAGGGAAGAAAACAAGGGACAGAAATTAACAGACCATTATAAAGTGAGTAGAAGAATTTGGTTTCCCTCTTTCATTTCTTTTCTTCTTTCCTTCCTTCTCTTTTTTCTGCTTTTCTTTTTTCTTTACTTCCTTCCTTCCCTTTTTTCTTCTTTCCCTCCTTCCTCCCTCTCTCCCTCTCTTTCTCTATTTTTCCTACCATGCACCCTCTCATTCTCCCTCTCTCTCTCTCTCTCTGCTCTATGATTTTAATAGAATTGGGGCAAAGGTGCAGAGGTTTCCTCTTCACAGGATGGGGCTACTGGCAAAGATCACCTCTTCTCATTGGCCCCTGTTGGGCACATTATTAGCAGTCAGTAAAAAATAAAATAAAATAAATGAGATAGATCACAAAATAACAGTAGAGAACCCTGCTCCTGGGTGTTGTCAGGGCAAAGTCTCATTTCCCCTAAGCCATTCACCCCACACAGAAATTACCTTCTTTCTCAGACAGCTCAGTTTCTATTCAACTAAAGGTCAGTCTTGCTAGAAAGCTGACTCAGTAAGTTTCTCTACAGTCAACTTTCAATTATCCCTGGGTAGCTCATCTTCTTTTAATCACTGGCAGGTGCTCCCTTGTTTTGCAGAAAATAGACAAACATAAAGCCAACCCCAAAATAATATGCAAAGGAGTACTCTCCTCTGGATGAAGCCAGAGTAATCGAAATGTAATTGGGTTTAGATATGCTATTATTTTATGCTAATATTTGTCAGAGAAAACAAAACTTGTAAATGTATAGGTGGTACCATGTTACTCAGGTAGGTTAGAGATTCTGAGGAGCAAGTGAAGTTCTAATGAAAATCAAGGTTTCAAAGGAACTGTAGTTGCAATGGTATAAAATGGAAAGGGCCTTGAACTTGGAATCTGTGAGCCAAAGTTTGAGTTTCAGTCATGCCACAGTTAACAGTATGAACTTGGGAAAATCATTTAACATCTTGGAGCTTCAGTTTGCTAATCTGTTACAGAGGGATAAATGAGTAATAATCAGATTACCTGCTTCCAATGGTTGTCATGATTAAAGCATTTAATGTAAGCAGGCAGTGTGAGATTGGTGGGATGGGAATGGAGAGCCACAGTCAGGATTACACAAGATTTAGCAGCCACCATATTAAAAGAGTAGAGGGCTTGGAATATGATATTCTGGAAGGAAAAAGAGCTGGGATTACAACCTACCTAGCAAGACTGAGTATAATCCTTCAAGGGAAAAATGGATTTTTAATGAAATAGAGGACTTTCAAACATTCCTGATGAAAAGACCAGAGCTGAATAGAAAATTTGACTTTTAAATACAAGATTTAAGAGAAGAATAAAAAAGGTAAACATGAAAGAGAAAGCTTAAGGGACTCAATAAAGTTAAACTATTTGTCTTTCTAGGAACTTCATCATTATTAGGGCAGTTAGAAGATAGAAAGAGAGTGTGGGAGTGAATCAATTATGTTGGGATGACATTAAAAAAAAAGATTGGTAAGAGGAATGCCCTAGGAGAAGGGAAAAGAGGAAAAATGGGGGAAATTATTTTACATAAAAGAGGCATGCAAGGAAAAGTTTTTACACTGGAGGAGAAATGGGGAGGGGGCAAGCAATGCTGAACCCTTACTCACATTTAAATTAATTTGAAGAAAGAATGTGTGTGCATTTGTATGTTCACTCAATTGGTAATAAAAATCTATCTTTCCCAACAGGGAAGTAGGAGGGGAAGGAGGTAGGAGAAGGGAGGGACAATAAAAAGGACAGTGGATAACAGAAGGCAGTAGTCAGAATCAAAACAGACTGTAGGGGAAGGACAGGATAAAAAGAGAAAGAGGCGAATAAACAGAAAAAAAAATAGGATGGAGGGAAATGCCACAGTTAGTAATCATAACTACAAATGTGATTGGGATGAATTCACCCATAAAACAAAAGCAGATAGCAGAATGGATTAGAAACCAGAATTCAACGATATGTTGACCACTGAAAGCCAATGAACTAATAAATAAAAGAGGGGAAAACAATAAGATAGATAAACCATTGGTTAATTTGATTTTTTTAAAAAGAAAAAACTAGAATACTAATATCAAAAATGAAAAGTGTAAATATGCCACTGATAAAGATGAAATTAAAGCAATTATTAAGAGTTATTATGCCCAATGTGCCAATAAAACTGACAATTTGAGAGAAATGAATATTTACAAATATATAAACTGCCTAAATACTTAAATAACCTTATCTTAGAAAAATAAAATGAACAAGCCATCAATGAGCTCCCTAAGAAAAAATCCTCAGGACCAGTTGGATTTATAAGTGAATTTGAGCAGAAGGGATTTATAACAGAAATGTAGAGCTGGCTTAATATTAGGAAAACTATAAGCATAATTGACATAATAACTAAAACAACAAAAATTATATGATTATATTAATAACACAGAAAAAGCCTTTGACAAAATACAATACCCAGGCCTATTAAAAACAGCAGAAAGCATGGGAATAAATGGATATTTTCTTAAAATGATAAGTAGTATACATCTAAAACCATGAGAAAGCATTATTTGTAATGGGGATAAACTTGAAGCCTTCCCAATAAGATCAGGGGTGTAACAAAGAAGTCCATTATTACCACTATTATTCAATACTGTACTATTGATGCTAGCTACAGCAATAAGATAAAAAACAGAAATTGAAGGAGTAAAAATAGGCAATAAGGAAACAGAACTATCATTCTTTGTATATGATCTGATGATATACTTAGAGAAGCCTAGAGAATCAACTTAAAACAAGTTGAAACAACTAACAACTTCAGCAAAGTTGCAGGATATAAAACAAGCCCACATAAATCATCAGCATTTCTATATACTACCAACAGAAGCCAGAAGGAGGAAAGAGAAAGAAAAATGCCATTTAAATTACCTGTAGACTATATAAAATACTTGGGAGCCTACCTGCCAAGACAAACCCAGGGATTATATGAACACCATTACAAAACACTTTTCACACAAATAGATCTGAACAATAGGAAAAATAGTAATTGCTCACAGATTGGTTGAGCCAATATAATAAAAATGACGATTCTACCTAATTTAATTTACTTATTCAGTGCCATACCAATCAAACTACCAAAGAATTATTTTATAGAGCCAGAAAAAATAATCACAAAATTTACCTGGAAAAACAAAAGACAAAATATCAAGAAAATCAATGAAAAAAATGTAAAGGAAGGTGGCCTAGCTGCATCAGATTTCAAACAATAGTACAAAGCAGCAATCATCAAAACAATCTGGTACTGGCGAAGAAACAGAGTGATGAATCAGTGGAATAGATTGGTACATAATACACAGTAGTAAATGACCATACTAATCTAGTGTTTGATAAAACCAAAGATCCAAGCTTTGAGGGTAAGAATTCACCGTTTGATAAAAAATTGCTGGGAAAACTAGAAAGGAGTTTAGTAGTAACTAGGTATAGACCATCATTGTACACCATATGCCAGGTTAAGGTCAAAATGGATAAATTATTTAGACATAAAGGATGATATAACAAGTAAATTAGGAGAGCATGGGAAAATGTACCTGTCAGATTTATGGATAAGGGAAGCATTTATGACCAAACAAGAAATAGAGGGGATTATGGGAAGTAAAATAGATATTTTTAATTACATGAAATTCAAAAGTTTTTTCACAAACAAATGCGACCAAAATTAACAAGGAAAACAGGAAACTGAGGGGAAATTTTATAGTAAGTTTCTCTCATAAAGGCCTTGTTTCTCAAATGCATAGGGAACTAAGCCAAACTTATAAAAATAAGAGCCATTTCCCAGTCAATAAATGGTCAAAGGATATGAATAGGCAGTTTTCAGAAGAGAAATCAAAGCTATCAATAATCACATCAAAAAATGCTCTAAATCACTACTGATTAGAGAAATGCAAATTAAAACAACCCTGATTGTTTGTCAGATTGGCTAACGTGACAGAAAAGGAAAATGACAAATCCTGGAAGAGATGTGGAAAAATTGGGACACTAATGCACTGTTGGTAGAGTTGTGAGTTAGTCTAACCATTCTGGAGAACAATTTGGAACTATGTCCAAAGGGCTACAAAACTGTGCATACCTTTGACCCAGAAATACCACTACTAGGTCTGTATCCCAAAGAGATCAAAGACAAGGGGAAAAGATCTATTTACACAGAAATATTTATAGCAACTCTTTTTGTGGTGGCCAAAAATTGGAAATCAAGAGGATGTCCATCAACTGGGGAATAGCTGAACAAGTTGTGGTAAATGATTGTGATGGAATACTATTGTGTAATAGCAGATGATAATAAGGATGGTTTTGGAAAAACCTGGAAAGACGTATATGAACTCATGAAAAGTGAAGTGAGCAGATCCAGAAGAATGTTGCACCCAGTAACAGCTATATTGTAAGGATGGTCAACTGTGAAAGACTTAACTATTCTAATCAAGACAATTCCAAAGGACCCAAGATGAAAAATGTTATCACATCTCCAGTGAGAGAAGTGAACTCTGAATGTAGATTAAAGCATACTTTTTTTTTAACTTTATCTATTTTTTTTGTTTCATCTATTTTCATTTGCAACATGGCTAATATGGAAATATGTTTTGCATAATGTCACATTCACTGTTATTGTTCAGTCACGTCTGATACTTTTTGTGACCCGATTTAGGGTTTTCTTGGCAGAGATACTGGAATGGTTTGCCATTTCCTTCTCCAGCTCATTTTACAAGTGAGGAAACTGAGGCAAACAGGATTAAGCGATTTGCCCACAGTCACATGACAAGTAAATGTCTAAGGCCAGACTTGAACTCAGGAAGATGAGTCTTCCTGACTCCAGGATTAGCACTCTCTCCACTGCACCACCTAGCTGCCTCTAATATCACATACACAATAGATATCAAAATGTTTGCCTTCTTAAGAAGAGGAGAGGGGTGGGAGAGAATTTGGAACTCAAAATATTAAAAAATGAACATTAAAAAAATTTTACATGTAATTAGGAAATATTTAATGAAATCAATAAAAATATATTTAAAGAAAGAAAAGAAAAGAAAAGAATCAGGGACTGAACTAAGAGCCAGTTCTGGAAAAGTAAGTGAATTTGATTGCATCAGCAATGGCCCAATTGACATTAGATAATATAAATTTGTTGTGGGCCCAGTCAGCATAGGGGAAGGGTAAGGGAAGAGTAATTTATTAAACATCTACTATGTGCCAGGCAGTGCTAAATGCTTCCCAAATATCCCCTTTGACCTTCACAACAACCCTGTGTGGTAGGTGCTATTATTATCCACATTTGAGACTGAATGATGGCATCTAACTTCCCTTCCAGCTCAAAATCTGTGATCCTTTGAATTTATGACTATGAGTATGTTATTGAACTCCATGAGAAAAGAGAAAGAATGACCTGGGGGCTAATAGATAGCAGTCACTAGGATATGAATTAGGTGATATATCTGGAATGCACCTGAAAGGAAGAAATGTTGACAAGTGCAGAAAGAAGGGAAAATTTATGGGGCAACTAGGTAGCACAGTGGATAGAGCTCCAGCCTTGGATGCAGGAGGACCTGAGTTCAAATCTGGCCTCAGACACTTCACACCTACTAGCTGTGTGACCCTGGGCAAATCACTTAACCCCAACTGCTTCACCAAAAAGGAAAAAAAAAGAGAAAGTTCTGGAAGGGGCTCTGAGGAGCAAGAAGCATGTTGACTCCCCCCACCTTGTCCCTAATACATGTTGTAGTCTAGGCAAGAGGCCTTCTTCATACATTTGGGGGTTTTTTTATTACTATTTTTTATTTTTGTTTGTAGCTTGGGCTTTTTTTAAATTGTAAAACTAATTTCTTTAAAGGATATGGATTTTATTGAGGACGCCCCAGTGTTTGATACAATCAACACAATGTCATCTGCAAATAAAAGCATCTGGAAGAACTCACCATTCTGCAATGAATCCCTTTTCAACTTGAACTCCATTGGCTCTCCTCCATGGCAGTGATGAATTCCGCTGGAAAACATGTCTCCCTGTTTTATGTCTCACCTGATATTAATGATCAGAAGCTCATCTTGTCTCTGTTATTATTTCTTTTATAGAATCTTGAATAATTTTGATGGATGCAGGAGAGATACCTAGATGGAAAAGAACCTTTATGGCAGCATTTTGATTTACTGGACCAAAGGCTTTTTTATAATCAACAAAAAATAAGAACATTGAGATTTTGTATTCTCATTATCTTTTAGCCAAATGTGTGATGATGAAAATGTGATCTACTGTAGAATGTTCTTGCAAAAACCTCCACATAATAAATTAGTAGGCAAAAAGCCTACTAATCACATCATCAAAGATATCCTCAATACACATGTAGATTATTCTTATAAAAATTACATATATATATATATGGGAAAGTAAGCATATGGGTTAGTAAGTGCTACTCTTATGGTCACTTTTTTTGTAGTCTTAACTAATAAAACTAATAAATTTCCATGCCTTTGGTGTCTTTCCCTTGTTCAGGTATGTTGTGAGTCAGTCCCTCAAGACCTTCACAACTGTGTAACCTTTGGGCACAGATCCCCTCTGTATATCCTTGGTCTAATCTAGCTGCTGTCCTCTGATTTCTTCTCATTACTGACATTTCTACCTCCCCAACAAATAAATGACCAGGGCTGGAATGCTAGAGTCTGAGTACAATCAATGGCTCCACTGATCTCGATGGTGAAAAAAAGTTTGTCATAAAAATCCTTCAACATACTTTCCATGTTTCTTCTGCTTGTAGCCCTCCTTTCATTTTTATTCTTAAATACCCTGAGGATGACTGTTTCATTGGGTCTCTTTCTTAAAGTGTCTTTTTATCCTACCCTGGTTTCTCTCTGTTTTATGAAGCAATGATACCCATGATTTTCCATTAGCCTTTTCTGCAAGATTTTATAAGAGACCACATTCTAAACCACTGCTGATAAGACTTAACAGGGATAAATTGTGCAATCACAGGACCATAAATTCAGAGCTGGAAGGGATTTTAGAGATCCAATTCCATCATTTTATGAGGAAACAGAAAATGGGAAGAAGTTATGTGACTTGACCAAAACCACTGAGGTAGTAAGTGCCAGAGAGAGGATTTGAACCCAAGTCCTCAGATACCAAATCCATCATTCTTTCCATTGCATATACTTGGGTTCAAAATTATCAAGTTCACAAATACTAAAAAGACAAGGCATACCTGGGCAGTAGTTTGAAAAAAAAGATCTGGGAACTCAATATTGAGTTAAATATGTTCTATGACAGCCCCTAAAGCTAGTGTGATCTTGGACTGCTACTTGGCCCTAAAGGACAGAGACAGGTACAACGGATAGAAGTTGAAAAAAGGCAAATGCATGTTTGATCTAAGGAAAAACCCCTCATAATTAGAGCTATTCACAAGTAGATTGGGCTGCCTGGAGAAGTGGTAGATTCAATGGAGGTCTTCAGGCCAAAGCTAGAGGACCACTTGTGTTAAGTTATAGGGGCTCCTTTGTCATGTATAAGTCAGGTTAACAAGTAAAGTCAATAAGCATCTACTATGTGCAAGGCATTGTACTAAGTGCTAGGGATACAAAGAAAGGACATACACCAAAGAAAACCAAAAATCAATCCCTGCTGTCAAAGAGCTCACTTTGTAATAAGCTAATATAGGATATATATGTTGTTGCTGTTTATTGTTCACTGAGTCTGACTCTCCATGACCCTATTTGGGGTTTTTTTGGCCAAAGATACTGGAGTAGTTTGCCATTTCCTTCCCCAGCTCATTTCACAGATGAGGAAACTGAGGCAAACAGGGTTAAGTGACTTCCCCAGCCAGAAAGTGTCTGAGACCAGATCTGAACTCATGAAGATGAGTTTTCCTATTTCCAAGCTCAGTGCTCTATCCATTGCACCACCCAGCTGCCCCAGGATAATGCCTTCTCTCAGTTGATTGCCACTAAATTATCCTATATATCTCATACATGTGTGTGCACATATATATATATACACGGGTGTATATACAAACACATATGATATAGTTCATATATGTATATATACACATATATGTATATTTGTGTGTATATGTGCATGCATTAAATAGGATCATTTAGAGCTAATCAAAGAGAAGACACTAGCATGAAGGAGGATTAGGAAAGGCTTCTAGAAAATGTAAGATTTTACCTCGACTCGAGGGAAGCCAGGAGGCAGAGATAAAAAAGAGAATTCCAGGCATAAGAGACGGCCAGTGAAAACACTTGGAGTGTCTTACATAATGAACAGTAAGGAGGACAGTGTCACTTAATGGAAATGGGGGTGAGTAATGTGTAAGAAGACTAGAAAGGTGGGGTGGGGGGAGTTGCAGGTTATGAAGGGCTTTGAATGACAAACAGAGGGTTTTATATTTGATCCTGAAGGTGATAGGGAGCCAGTGGAATTGATTGAAGAAGGGGTTGATGCAGTCAGACCAATGCTTTAGGAAGATTCATTTGACAGCTTAGTGGAAGATGGATAGAAATGGGGAGATACTTGAGCCAGGAAAACCAACCAGCAGCCTATTGCAATAGTCTAGTCATGAGGTGACAAGATCCTGCACCAGAGGAGCTGTAATGTCAGAGGAGAGGAAGGGACCCACACTCAATGGCTTCTGAGGATCCTGACTCCAGGAGCTTCTCCTCTGGAAAGGGGGCCAAGACTCACACACTTGAAGTGATACTCTAATTGTAAGGCACATTACATGATCAGCAGTACTGTGCTACAGCAGAAAGAGGCATTGTTTTGCAGTTGGAACACCTGTGTTTGTATCATGCCACTGACCTGACCTGTGAGCCCCTGTGCAAATTACTTGACCTCCCTGTACCTCAGTTTCCCCATCTGTAAAATGAGGAAATTGTAGTGATGACCTCCGAGGTCCCTTCCAGCTCTAAATTTCTGTTCTTATGATTCTGTGATCCTTTCTTTGCCACTTATCACCTGGATGACCTTGAGTAAGACATTACCTCTCTCTGGGAATCAGGTTCCCCATCTGTAAAATGAGGTGGCCCTGCTAATTGATCTCTAAGGTCTTATCCAGCTCTAAATCCCATAAAGCATAGGCTTTAGGATTCAAAGGAGCAGGAGAGAATTCAGGGCTGGGCAGTTCAGGGAAGGCTTCACAGAGAAGGTGGGATTTAACCTGAGCCTTGAAGGGTTAGGGAGATTTAAGATTCTAGGCAATTCTAATTGCCTGGGCAAAAGTATTCAACAAGCAATAAATATTTATTAAGTGACTACTTTGCAGGAGGTATTATATTGAGACCTGGGAATAAAAAGACAACAGATAAAACAGCCTCAACCCTCAAGGTGCTTACATTATGCTGAAAATATGGGGGCAGGAAAGCACAAGATGCGTTCAAAGAACAGAGGAGAGCAGTAACACGCAAAAATGAGGGATGGGTGAAAGGGAGGTTGGGATCAGATTATGGCAGGCCTTGAATGCCTGGCTAGGGAGCTTGGACTTTATGGAAATACATTAAAGAATGTTTTTGGGTTTTGTTTGTTTATTCATTTACTTTAAACTTAAATAAACAATAAGAAAAGAAAAAGAAACATTATAAACTTAAATATTAAAACTTAAATACAAGATAAGAAAAGAAAAAAAAGCATTGCCATGTGCACAGCAGAACGTAAGAAAGGATTCAAAATATACAGCAATAAATTTCCATTTCAATAAAGCCTATGTAACAAACACTATGCATTGTGTTCAAAGCAGTCCATCTTTTCTTTTTTCTTTCTAAGTTTTCTTTTGTTCTCTGCTGTACACTTTTTACTTTGGTTTTTCCCCCCATCCTCCATCACCCCACCGCACCCCACCCTGCTCCCAAGAAGGTACAATTAAGCATGGATATATTTATATACACATATACAAAGATATATACATATATATGCATACTTACACATACATTTGTTTAGATAGCTATAATCTTACTCATATAAACATATACACTCATATGCCTCTATGCAAGACTGTACTATACTTAATTGTCCTCTGCTTCTCTCAGGGTGGATAACATCTTCCTTCATAAGTCCAAGTCTTTCCATATTTTTCTAAGTCCACCAACTTGTCATTTCCTACAATACAGCAATATTCCAACCTTATAACTGTCTAGTTATTTTAAATAGTCTAAAACAATATTAATTAATATGGCTGACATACAGTGTAGTTTCCCTATTTTTCTCTTTTGATTAAATCTATTTTAACTTTAACTTTGTATGAGATCACAATTACTACCTGTTTTTTTTTTCCCTAATAAATTCTACTCCTGATCTTTATTTTATCTTTGTATCTCTTATCTCTAATTATTTTTTTAATTAGGAGTTTGACATGATGAAATTGATATTTCAGGAAGATTATTCCAACAGCAGGGAACAAAAAGGCCACTCCCTCATTTTGTGTTTCTAACAACTCAGATTTAAGCAGAGTTCATTTCAGGGTCTCCATTTTACATATGGCAAAACAGAGACCTCAGGAGTGAAATTACTGGTGCCAGGTCACACACTGAAGTAGGGGGGAAGCTACAGCCCAGTCCAGTAGGGCCTCTGCCCAGGAGGGAAATGCCATTTTCCATTCAGCTATTCACAGACCTGCCTTCCCTCATTCTATCTTTCCATCTTTAAGTGTACCAGATGGAGGGACTTTTGCTGTTTTTTGCTCAGGGAGGTATTTTCTTCCATCAAATGGTAAGAAAAACAAAATGGAATCATCGAGGTCTTTCTAACACAGTTTATCTTTAAAATACCATTTGTCCCTTTCTCTCTGTAGGAGGCAAGGTCTCCCCTTTTCTTCCATTATTGCTCTGGACACTTTCGTAACAAGATCTGCGTTTCTTCATCAAGTCTTCTGCTCTACAATCTTTGCCTTACCTCCCTCGCGCTCAGCACAGAAGCTGAGGGTAAGGGCCCACTGTTGTTGACCATGCAGGAAAGAACCAAGACCCAGGAGGGCGGAGGCAAGAGTTGCCACCTGCTTTCCCGAATGTACGATTTTCACATAGAGGAGGCCCTTCTAGCCTTAGGACAACGCTGCGAGGTAGGTAGTTTAAATAGGATTATTCCAATTTTACAGAGGAAGAAATGAAGGCTCAGAAAAGCTAATTTGATTATGTCGCCCCACCTATTTGATAAGCTCCAGTGACTCTCTATTGACTCGAGGAGCAAATTTGCCATTTAAAGCCTTTCACAACCCTGTCCCTTCCTACCGTTCCAATCTTCTTATATTTTATTCTCCTCCAATCCAGCAGCACCTGCCATCTGGCTGTTCCTCATATGGGATGCTCCATGTCTTTTCACTGTCTCCCATGCCTGGAATGCTCCTCACCCCTGTCTCTACCTTCTCTATAGCTTCCTTCAAGACTCAGCTCAAATTCCACCTATGCAGGAGGATTTTCTCGGTTTCCCCACACCATCACCTCCTGCCATACATACCCCTGTCCCAGTCTCTGAGACTATCT